CTGCCCTCAAGCAAAAAGGCAACATTCATTTCCTTCCTTCCTTTTGCCTAGCCTGCACTAGCTGACTTAGTGGAACATGTAGTCAGGGTCCTCAGAAGGCAGCTGCTACTACTACCCTGGGGGTCTAGGGGTAACCCTGAGTAGTTTGAGATGCCTGCTACTGCTGCTTATAAGCCTCCCTCAGTATACCACTCCCCACCCCTCCACTGATTATCAGACGGAGTTAAAAATAGACAAGGCTATGCATTTACTGAAGAGGAATAGTGAGGACAGTTGTTCTAGGAGCATTCTAGAGACATAGTCTCCCCTGGCATCCACTCAGTTCCTGGGGAGAGTGGGATCAAGTTTCTGGTACAACAGCAGTGGAGCAGCCTTGACCTTCTTGCTGCTTCTACGAAGGACTACAGGTCTGCACCCCACCCCATGCCTATCCAACATTATGACCCCATCACTCTTCCTTTCAAAGTCTTCTTGTTGGCCCAAGTCATTTTCTCCTGGACTCAGAGCCTAGAAGACCTGAGTTTGAATCCTGCCTCAGTCACTTACTAGTTGTGTGATCCAAACCAAGTCACTTCACCCCTCTCAGCCTCAGTTTCCTCATCTGTAAAACGAGGATGATAAGTACACCTACCTTCCACAGTTGTTGCTAGAATCAAATGAGATAATCTTTGTAAAATGCTTTGTAGGCCTTAAAGCACTACAGAAATGCTGGCTATTATTATCCTGCTTTCACTCTGTTCACTTTGCCTTCTCTGTGTATTGGGTACAAATATCAGAGGCCTGAGAGTCTCTACTCCCACTCTTGCTGAATATCATCCCCTCCCCCCAGCTACTCTTCTTCCTCCTGGACACCCTGTGATAATGCCTTAATGGACACTGGTGGGAGCTCTCTCCCTAAGCCTCCATTTCTGCCTTTCTCTTCTGAAGTCTGTTGTTTAATCAGCATTAATGAGGGGAGCCTCCTCTGCAGGTCAGGGCTCCAGCTTCTAGCCTGAGACTTCAGATTTCCCTGCTCCACTCTCTCATTCCCTTAGAGCAGAAGGATGGAGCATTCACTGTCCAGTTCGGCGAGGGGCCCTTCTCACCCCAGAGAAGTGCCAGAGAGAACACACATTCCTGATCACTCACAGCTCAGCTCCACCGGCTGCCCCAGTCTCTCCCGCCAGGGAACACAATCTGCGGCTTCTTCTGAGGGTCCACGGCGCACTCACGAGTCCCATGGCCGGCCCAGAGCCTCTGTGATCCTCCCTCGCCCAACCTTCCCTGAGTCCCCTTGCTCTGCCCTCCAGCCCTGGCACAAGCCTGGCTCCCCATCAGATTCTCTTTCCCTGTTCTCTCAAGGACTCGCTTGCCCCACTGCGCTGCGGTGGAATCCAGAGCAGCTGTCCTCCAGCACACGCCTGCCAGCCTGCCTAAAAATAGAAGTATACACACACCATCTACACATGGGTCAAATGCCAGGCAGGGAAAGCAGGGTGTACAGAGGGCAGAGCCCAGCTGCCAGCCCCACTCCTGCTGCTGGATCGCCCTGGGACTTCAGACGGATCACTTCACTTTTCTGGGCCTCAGTTTCCTCCTGGGTAACTTGGCAACTCCAACATTCTGCAGCTGTTCAGCTGAGGCTCCTGGCACAGTCAGCACTCCCTCCAATGTCCTCAAGGACAAACAAACGTGGAGGGAAAAGAGATTGTCCCCACATGGAAGCAGGCTCCTGGAGGGAGCAGCAGCTGCCTCCCTGGATAAGAAACGGCCTCCTGCTCTGCTGTTTCACCGCTCCAGTGAGGGGGAGCCAAGGGACGTCAGAACACAGTGTCCCGTGGGGCTGACAAAGGCATCCCACAGAAATCCATCCCTGGAGAGGGGCTGAGCCTGGGCCCAAGAGGGGGCTGCCTACACTCTCCCTGCCACCGGTACCCACCGGGCAGGCTCAGAGTGGTGAGTCACCAGTTGTGGTCCTGGAGAGCAGGAGCTGAGAACCTCCTCCCTGGGAAAGGCCTTCACCCTGGGGAGCCCTGCTGTCCTCAGGGAGTGGGTGGGCTCCTCACCCTCCAAGAACTCTAGGGCCCCATCTCCCTCCTCCTGCTGGAGGCTGGATGGAGCCTTGGCAAGCAGCTAGATCTCCAAAGGAGGCTGAGATGTCCTTAAGAAAGCAGAGTGGTGGACGGGTGGCCCTCGCCTTTGAAGACCCCCACAGAGACAGAGTATGCCTGCTTGTCTCCTTCACATTCGGCTGGGAACCAGGATCGGGGGGAAGGGCCCTTGGAGAAGACCAGCAGCTCCTTCCCCATCTCACTGGGGAAACACGATTTCCAATGAGGGGTGGCCGGCCAGAGATGGGGTTTGATGAGGGTCTCGTGCTACAGCCCGGCACCTCACCCCTTGGAGTACAGAAATGGGAGTAATGATACTTAGGTGGAGTAGTCCAGGAAGGCTTCTTGAAGGCGGGACCTTTGAAGGCAGCCTGGAGTCATACCAGCCAGAGCAGTGGAACAAGGGGCCAAAGAACAGTGAGGCTGTGACGCCGGGCTGGGGGGGGGGGGGTGCAGGAGGGGGCGGGCTGCTGAGTAATGGAAGGGCAGCAGAAGCCTCCAGTCCAGCCCTCCCTGTCCCTGAAAGAAATCCCCCTGTGCCATCCAGCCTGGAGGTCAGCCAGCTCTCCTAAAGGCCTGCATCCAGCCGCCTCATCCCCTCCAGGGCAGGGAGAAGCCACTAGGTTTCTCCACATTTCTGGTCTCTTGGTCAATGCTCTGGGTGCTGCCCCCAGAGGCCAAGCAGAGCAAGCGTCACCTCTCCCTCCTCCTCGAAACAGCCTATGGAGGCCAGTCCTCCAACGCCAAGCAAAGGAGATTGATTCCCTGGACGAGGTGGGAAGAGTCTGGCTACAGCTGGGAAAGGAGGCTAGTCAGACTGTCCGATGCCGAGTTCTAGCCTCAGATCCCTTCCCCTGTCTGGCCCACTCTCTGCTCCCAGAGGCCTGGGTGATCTTGGCGGATCTCCATGGCCTTCCACCAGCCTCTCCTTTCTTACACCCCAGAGTCAGACAGTCCTCCACAGAGGGGAGCACTGTCCCCAGGGACTGACTCATGGGGCAGTGGGAGGGGGGTTGCTCAGACTGCTGCACCAGAGTCGGTTCTGAAACCACTGCACATGGGGCAGCCCCCCAGGCTCGTTCCAGGGGCCCATCCTGAGAGAAGACTCAGAGCAGAATTGCTCAGTCATTCAGCAACCAGGCCAGAGCCATCTATAGTTCTGAGAGAGAGCCAAGAGTCCAGCAGCAGAGGGGCCCTTCGTCCCTCCCAGCTGCCCCGTCTGTCCTGACTCTGCTTTCTGGGCTGCCTCGATTGCCTTCAATGCCTCTCTGAATGCATGTCTGCCTCTTCATTTCCCCCAGGAGTCCTTCTGGACATCCAGCAGCTGAGGTGTGTGTCTGGGGGAGGGGGGGGTCGATACACAACACCTGGAGAGAGCAGGTGGAGGACAGAGAATCAGATCTGCACCTCCCCCAGTCTTTTGGCTCCCCAGTGCTTAGCAGAATGCCCCACAGACAGCAGATACTTATTAGATAATTATTGATTAGGTGTGGGCTCCCTCATTAGAAAAAACTCCCTGAGGGCAGGCACTGGTTTGTTTTTTTTTTTTGGGGGGGTTGTATGAGGCAATTGGGGTTAAGTGACTTGCCCAGGGTCACACAGCTAGTGAGTATTATCTGCCTGGGGCCACATTTGAACTCAGGTCCTCCTGGCTTCAAGGCTGGTGTGCTGTTCACTGGGCCACCTCGCTGCATTGTCTTTCTGTCTACTGGCCTAGGGATTAGCTTGGTAAGGCCTGATGACTTGCTGGGGGCTGTTAGAAGGGCTGAGCCCAAGGCTGCGGATGGATGGCCCACACTCCTGGTCCCATCGGGCCAGCTCGCCAGCTCTGTGGATCTCCATTTCTCAAGCTTCCTGTTCTGTTTCCCTTTTGTTCTAAAGCTGATTTTCTCAGATAAATGTGGTTCACCTTGACATCGTGATTAGTGCCCCTCCTCACACAAATGCAGCCTGAGCAAGACTGATATTTGCTTAAGCTGCAGGACACACACACACACCACACACACACATACACACACACTACATACCACACCCCCACACACACACACCACACACACAACACACACCACATGCATGTACACACGTATACACACACATATATTCACCAAAGAGATTTTTCTCTGCCTAAGGGCTCAAACTGAACAAAAGAGAATTATTGATCGATTTTTATAACTTCCCAGAACATGGAGGAAGAAAACAGACTCAGCCTTTCTAGTCACAGAGTGGGCAGATTTCTTCAGTGGAGTGGTGGGGGAGGCTTATAGGGAGCTGGTTTGAAAAGAAAACAATTCCTCCAGAGAGAGAGTGGTTTGAGGGGAAGCCTTTGCAAAGGGGAGGACTGAGGGGGAGTGAGCAGAACCCTTGAGAAGGCAAGGAACTGTGATGGGACCCACACACCCATAACTCACATCGGGGCTGGATCTAGCAATGGCAGCTGTCCCGGGGCAGAGCAGGCTGTAGGCAGCAGGGGAGCTTTAGTGCATCCCCCCCAAACCCCCAAAAGGATGACCGCCTACTGGGTATGACACAGAGGTTCTCAGTCAGAATCATCTGCACTAGAGGCTCTTCTAGCTCTGAGGTTCTAGGGTCTAGATCTAGACCGTCCTGGAGTCATCCTGGAGCAGACCTAGAGCTGTGCTGTGGCCCCCGAGCCTGCCTGTCCCTGACTTTCTCCAACTTCAGGAGTAGGCCCCTTCTTCTGCCTGCTGGCTCCAACACCACTCCACAGCTCCTCACCCACCTGTACCGCTGTGTTCTGCTCCAGCCGAGGCCCAGCTTCAAACTCGGGTGCCCTGACACAGTTATCCCCAGAACCCACATCCAGCTCACACCAGCTCACTGGCTATTGGCTGCTCTTCTCTCCCAGGACCAGCCCCGAGCCACAGCCCCTGGAGACCCAGGCTGACTTACCAGCAGGATGTCAGCAACAATGGCCCAGTTGAAAGAGAGAAGGAGCTCTCCGAGTGCCAGGAAAACCTGCAGACAGAAGAACCGCGTCATTCTAGCCCTTTCTCCACATGGAAGCCCCTGCCCTTGGGAGGGAAGCTCCTGGAGGTCCAGGCTGGCCCCCTCACCTTCCTCCCTGCCCCTGGGCTGGGCCTCTCAGTCCGGGCTGCCAGGGGCACCTTCACCCTCACCCACCCACTCACTGTTCATCTGCTCCTCGTGAGTGAAAGCCTAGAAATAGCCCCGTTGTGGCTAGGCAGCGACAGAGCCAGGCCCAGCCTGAGCCAGGGCTCCTGACAGCAGGCCTGGCCTTTTCCCCTCCCGCACACTGCCCCAAGATCTACTCCGAGACTTGGACCAACTTGGCCCAAGTCAAAAGACATTCCTTAAATTCTTTCTTTGTATGCCCATCACCTGAGGCCCATCATCTCTACATTGAGGCCAGTCAGCACCTCGGATGTCATGGGTAGTGATTGACTCTTTACCGGGACAGCCTGGGGGATCTTGGACAGGTCCCTGCCCTCTCGGGGCTGCCTCCATCACTCCTGAAGGGCCCTCTCAGCTTTGAGCTCACTCAGGTGGTGGAAAGAAGCAACAGCAGTCCCCAGCCAGGACTAGAGCCTGGATTGAAGAGCCTCAGTGTTCCCTCCCTTTTCCTGCATCTCTTTAGCCCAGTGAGAAAGCCGGGAGAGACACAGGCTGCTGGCCCACCTCCTGAGACCACCCCCAATCCTTGCCAACCACCACTGGTCCTCCTGCCACATTCACTACCCCTAGATCCTGCTGAGGTTCCCCAGACACCCCCCATGCCCTTGGACTCTCCCCTCCTCTCCCCCCCACAAAAACAACCAAATTGCTTGCTGGGTGAGGGCTCTAGGCAGCTGTCCCAGACAGCCCAGCCCCTCCCCCTCCCCAGGTGTGCTCCAAGGGCTGGGATGGGTTCAGGTGGAACAGCTTAGCCTGTTCCCAGCCATTCTGGCTCTTCCCAAGTGCTGTCCCAGGCATGGTCTCACCCCATTCCCCACCCCCCCAGGGGCCCAGGAGTCAGACTGGGCATCCCCACTGCCCAGATGAGAACGCTGAGGTTCAGTGAGGATTTGTTACTAGGTTTTTTAGCTAGGATTTATGGAGTACTTTGAGGCATACAAAGCACTTTACACATATTCTCATTCAATCTTCACAATAAACTGGGGAGGTAGGGGCTGTTATTACCCCTCTTTTTCAGATAAGGAAACTGAGGCGGACAGCAGTGACTTGCCCAGAGTCACACAGCTAGTGGCTGAAGCTGGATTTGAACTCAGGTCTGACTCCAGGCCTATTACTAGATCTTCCTGTAGACTCTAGGGCAGGTGTTCACAATTCACATGGAGTAAAGAACTTTGTTACATCTGGGAAACTGAGCCCAGACCGTGTGTATCCACGATCAAAGTCCAGCTCCAGGGCCCACCACCCTCTAGCCAGCCTCTGCCTGCCTCCAGGAGCTCCCTGCCCCTCTCTGGCCTGGCCTTTTCCTGTATCTACTGGGGCTCCCCACGGCACCCGGGGGAGAAGGAGATGTGCTTCCTCTGCCTAGAAAGGACTAGCCAGGGATGGAATCGTTCCCGTGTCTCCAGAGCTGGGCCATGCTGCTGATGGCCTTGGCAGCACCTCAGGGACAAGGGGACCATTGGGGGCCAGGCTCAGCACCTAGGGTCTCCCTGCTCATGTGGCTGCACAGTGCCTAGCCATCTGTCAGACCCTGACCCAGAGGGCAGGAGCAGAGCAGTGGGGAGGGGCTGCAAAGGGACCAGGAGAACTTCCCAACAGTGAGGGCTCACACAACACGAGCGGGGCTGCCTCAGGAAGGGCAGAGTTGACCCAACAGGAGAGGGGCTGCCCTGGGAGGGGGCAGGCTTCCCTTCCCGGGGGTCATTGAACAGCGCCTGGGATGGCCCCTTGCAGGGATGTCAGAGACAAGAGGGCGCCGAAGTCCCTTTCTCCTTTTGGATTCCATGACTCCACCCTGAAAGTCAAGATGAAGAAGGGTCGGTCCAAGTAGCCAAGAGCCACTCTGTTCTGGTCTCCCATCAAAGCCTCATACCTGAGACAGCAGCAGAGTCTGAGCTTTGGACAGAGCTCTACAAATGTGACTGTGGGGCACCACAATGAGGGAGGGCACTTATCAATGTAAAGTCTTACACCAGGGCTCAAAAAATCAACTTTAAAGGACCAGATGGAGGCTGGGAGAGGGGTGGGCGCAGCTGGCTCTGCTGGGAGAGGTCCAAATCAGACTTCTCCTGCTTGGGGGTCTTAGACAGTCCCTCAGCCGCTGGACTCACTGTTTAGCCACACTGTCCTGCACTGTGGGTGCTGTGGGTGCCTCCTGGTGGCTGGATGGGACTCAGCTAGTGCAGTCCAACTTAGAGCAGGTCCTGCCGTGCTGAGAAGCCCCCAGGGCAGGCTGTCAGTGGCCAGTTCGCTTGCAGTAAGGACCAGCCAAGCCCCAGAGTCCATCATTACCAGAGCTGAACGCTGCCATCCCATCTTCCATCTCCAATCTCTGGGTCTCCTCCCTGTCCTCTTCTTTCTCTTCCTGGCTCTGGGTTCTGTTCTCTCCTCACTGACTTGGATGATCACCTCACTGAGGTCACTGTCCTCACTCCCAGTGATGGCTGGGCAGCCCCAGTCTGAGCCTTCTCATTGGCTCTGCCTTCTCTGACCATCTGCAGCTCCCCAGTGGCTCCTAACCACGTCCTCTAGTCCTGTGAAAGGCGGCAAAGCAAAGCTCCCCTTCCTTATCCAACCCTGTTTACAGAGCTCTCCCCATAGCAGCCTGGGCTGCTCTGTTTGAGCCCAGACTCTTGTGGGAGGCTTCTTGAACTCAGTTAAATGCCATCACCATCTGTCAACACTAGCCATGGGGACAGGGGGAAGCAGAGCAGTCAGGCTCTTTGGGGACAGTGTGAGTCAGGCGGGTAAGGGAGAGCCCTGCTCTGTCAGAGGTCTTGGTTTCACACTGCTTACCGAACTGGGTAGAGAATGTGTAGCCTCATTTTTCCCCTCTAAAATGGGGTAATAATCCTTGAATTCCTTTCTTCATGGGGACATCGTGAGGAAAGTGCTTTGCAAACCTCAGAGTGCTATGGAGACATGAGAGAAGCCCTGGTAAAGCATCCCAGGGTGGCAGGCAGGCAGGGTCACAGGGGAGATCTGACTTAGCCTACTCTTTGGAGGAAGCTCAGAGCAGAGCGCCCTTGGAGTCTTTCATGCCATGAATAGATTCCCACAGCAGTCCTTCAGTTAGGGCTGTGCTCCTGCGATGGTTGTGTCCATTTTACAGATGAGAACACTGAGGCCCTGGGAAGCAAAAGGGCTGGCCTCAGACCACATGAGGAGTCCCAGACAGGAGCTGAGGAGAGGACTCAGGTGTCTTGGCTCCAGGCCAGCTACTCCCCACAAGACCACACTTCCTCCATGATGCACTGGGGGGAGTTGTCCTCAGCACATTCTTTTGAGCAGCCACAAAGGTGGAGATCCTTTGTCCTTTGTCCCTTGAGGGTGGACTTGCTTTTCTGGAACAGTCAAATGTCTGTCACTTGGAGCCCAGTATTGGTCAACACAGGATGGGTGAGACTATGAAGTAACAAGACAGGTTTTCCAAGGGCCTCCTTGAATTGGTCCCTAAGGGCAAAGGTGGGTCTTCGAAAAATGCTCTGAGGAATTGCAACATCCTCACCACCAAAGGCACTCCGGGAAGAATTCCAGAATGATAGATGCTGGACGGAGCTGGAGAGAGCATGGTCCCTCCCCTCCACAGGCAGGCAGGGACTCCAAATGCAGCCTCCAGCATCAGCAACAAAACTTTGACCCTCCATTTTCTGAGCCACCATATGTCGATGCTCGAGTCTCCCAAATAGGGCTGCTCTGGGCTGAGCCCATCCATGCCAACTCAGGCTCGGAACATGCTCCAGATGTCTCCTTGAAGCCCCTTCCCCAAGTGCTGGAGGGTCTCTGCCCTCCTCCTCTGCCTCCATCAGTGGGGCAAAAGCCCCCAGGGCAGGCCGTCAGTGGCCAGTTCACTTGCAGTAAGGACCAGCCAAGCCCCCGAGTCCATCATTACCAGAGCTGAATGCTGCCATCCCACCTCCCATCTTCCATCTCTGGTCTCTCCTCTCTCCTCTTCTCTATCTTCCTGATTCTGGGTTCTGTTCTCTCGTCACTGTACTCACTGACTTGGATGATCACCTCACTGAGGTCACTGTCGTAGCCCCTGTGGGGCCAGGATGGCACTTCTCACTCCTGAGGCATCACTGGTACAATGTGGCTGTCTACTCAGCTGCCACGTTTCTCCTTTTTCCCTCTCAAGTGACTCACAGATTGCATTCTTTGGTGTCTTGTGTTTCACTGCCATTGAGCACCATCACTGGGGGAGAATTAATATTCAAAAGGCAAGGTTTGTGTCAGGGGCCCCTGGGGGTGCTTTGAAATCTCTGCACAGACTACATTTCCACCCTCCCATTAAACTCTGTGCACAGCTCATTGTCCACCAGTGGAACATCTCTCCAAGCTAGACATGCGTTTGTATTACCACATGTGTGGTTGTATATACTCAATGGACTGTCCACCCAACTGTCCATCCTGGTCTGGCAGGTGGGCATTCTATATCCACCCTACCTCAATGGACTGCTGTCCACTCAACTGTCCATCCTGGTCTGGCAGATGGGCATTCTACATCTGCTTGGATGTGCCAGAAGAGTCCCTGTAGTCTTGTGGGCTTGATGGGATCAGCACCATGTCATCTGCCCAGAGGGGCATCTGGAGGACCACCCCCTCCCAGGGAATTCTGCTTCCATTTGGACTTTTTGGGGAACTCCAGTGTCTGTGATTGTGACAAAACCCTGCTCAGCCAAATGACACGTTCTACCATCTTTGACATGACTAAACAGAGAATCAGTACAGCGTCCTTTCTGTCCTGGTGCCTGTTGAGGAATCTTATGTGATTTTGATACATGGCCAAGAGACTCCTTCGAGCAGCGTCTCTGAGGCAGTGT